TTGCCTGAGCCCGCGGGTTTGAGACCCGCCTGGGCAGCGAGACCTCATCTCTACAATAAATCAAAAAATCAGCCAGGTGTGGTAGCGCGCGCCTGTAATTCCGGCTACTCGGAAGACTGAGGCAGAAGGATCACCGGATCCCAGCAGGCGAGGCTGCGGTGGCCGGGAGCAACTACTGCACTCCAGTCTGGGCGACCGAGTGAGACTCCGACTCAAAAAATAAAAATAAAAAAGAAAGGTAGATTTATTAAAGAAAAGAAACATTGTGAAGGGCACAGTGGGCAGGACAACAGCAAGAGTGTCTGCTGTCTGCTGCCCATTCTCTGCCTTTTATCCCTTTTTCTTCTAATAATTTCCAGTTTTGTGTTTTCTGTCCACTTTTGTATTACATGAAAAAATGGTCCAGATCTAAAAACTTACTGTGAAAACCTTGTAGGTAGATGACTAAGAATTAACTCTGAATGAGAAACTAAGTAGTAGTTAATTCTTTTTTATTTTCATAGCTTAAGATTTTAAAAGAATGGGTGTTGCAAATTTTTATTTTTATGACTGGAACTCGGATTTTACTCTGAAAGTTTGGTTTTCATTAAAATTTTCCTTGTGCATTTATAACCATATTATTTTGATTAAACATCCAGCTCTCCACAACTGTTAAAAGAACCAAATCACTCTAAAGCTGCTCCTGATAGAAGAACAACTCTCTTTTCTGCATCTGAATGTGAGATAGATCATAGTGAAAGGAGAATACATAGAAAGATCAAGCCGAGTGTCACCAAAGGGCGTGGATCAAAACGAATTCGGGGTAAGACTTCTAAGAAGGAGCCTAGAGCTTCCAAGGCCATGCTGGTGACTCTTCGAGCTTCCCAGGAAGAAGAAGAAGATGATGCTGAAGATTTTGAGTCTGACTACGAAGAAGAAAACTATCACCTTGCTCCAGAAGAAGTGAACAAAGCTCCGGTGTTTGTGCCTGTTGGCCTCAGATCTCCCGAACCTGTTTCTGCTCAGATTGAGGAAACAATGGAAGAGGTGGGTTTTTTGACTCCTTGGCACTTTATCTTACTTGGGCTTTTCCTCTTTTTTCTCTCAGTAGAGCATTATTTCTTCTCTTGGTGATTATTAGGATTTGAAGAGTTCATTCTCTGAATAACCTCTACCAAATATAGTTTTTCTAGGGCCTAGTGAACAGCTTCGGGAATCAGTAGAAGTAGACTTGTGTGATCTCTTGTGATTGCTCAGCCTGTATGGCTCAAGCCCAGTGAGGAAGTCAGTGTAACAATAATGATAGAAAACCTGCTAACACTTGGACCTGGAAGCTGCTTGATCTATTTTCTGTAATTTTAAAGACATTTTGGCAGGTGTTTTCTCTTCACGCTTTGTAATGGGCTCAGGCTGAGTTCTGGTTGGTAGAGAAGGTAGAAGGGACGTGTGTTTTTTTTTCTTTTAAAAAAAAATTGTGGCTAAGTATATATAACATAAAATTTGCCATCTTAACCACTTTCAAGTGTACACGTCAGTGGTGTTAACTTTCACTGGTACATATCATTGTGTTACCATCACCACCATCCATCCACAGAACTCTTCTTCTTTTAAAACTGAAATTCTGTACCCATCAAACAATAACGCCCCATTTCTCCCACCAAAGGCTATGGCCTTTGGCAACTACCATTCTGCATTCGGTTTCTATGAATTTGGCTACCTAGAAATCTCATACAAGGGGTATCATACAGTATTTTTGTTTGTGACCATCTTATTTAGTATAATGTTTTCAAGGTTAGTCTATGTTGTAGCATATGTCAGAATGTCCTTCATTGTTAAAACTGAATAATACTCCCTTGTGTGTGTCTATATCCCATTTCGTGTATTCTTTCATCAGTGGACACTTAACTTGGGTTGCTTCCACCTTCTGGCTGTTGCAGATACTGCTATGTGCTTGGGTATGCGAATATCTCTTTTTAGTCCTGCTTTTAATTTTTTGGGTTAAACAGGTTACCCAGAAGTAGACATGGTGGATCATATGGTAGTTCTATATTTAATTTTTTTAGCAGCTGCCATACTGTTTTTATAGTGACCAGTGTCATTTTATGTTCTCACCAGTAGTGAACAAGTGTTCCAGTATCTCCACATCCTCACCAACAGTTGTTGTTTTTGATTTTTTTGGTAGTAACCATCCTAATGGGTATGGGGTAGAGGAACACATTTAGCTTCCTTACTCATTTGCTTCTTAGTCTAGCATTCCAGCTCTGTAACTTCCAAGTTTTCTGCTCTGCCTCAGTTTTTAGTCACTTGTATGACATATAGAGCAGCATATCTGGATCAGTTTTGTATAAACATTCATGATAGTTTCTGAGTCATTTGAATCAGAGAGTAACTATGATAGTAGTGGTGACAATAAAAGAAGCAGTAGGAACCATGAAACAATCCAAGTAATGTTTAAGGTAATTAAAGTAAACCTTAATTGTTAAAGTAAATCTATTAAGAATTAACGGACTGCGTGAATCTGTAAAGTCACATTTATTTATTTGTTTATTTATTTTGATTTATTGTAGATATGAGGTCTCGCCAAGTTGCCCAGGCGAGTCTCGAACCTGCGGGCTCAGGCAGTCCACTCACCTCGGCCTCCCAAAGTGCTGGGATGACAGGCTGAGCCACCGAGCCCGGCCTAAAGTCACATTTATTAATGGAAGTCAAAACCTTTATTTTAGTAACTCTCTCTCTCTCTCTCTCTTTTTTTTGACTTGGAGTCTTGTTCTGTCACCCACGCTGAAGTGCGGTGCCACACCCGTGGCCACCACGGCCTCCACCAGCTGGGCTCAGGCGGTCCTTCCGCCTCAGCCTTCCAACTAGCTGGAGCCACAGGTTTGGTTTGGTTTTCTTGTAGAGACAAGGTCTCGCCAAGTTTCCTCGGCGGGTCTCGAACCCGCGGGCTCGGGCAGTCCACTCACCTCGGCCTCCCAAAGCGCTGGGGTTGCAGGCATGAACCGCTGTACCTGGCTTTATTCGCTCTTGATAATAGCGTGGCAAGTGTTGGAAGGTAAACGAGGCTGGGCACGGTGGCTCCCGCCTGTGCCCCAGGCTTTAGGAGATGGAGGCGGGAGGGCTGCCGAGCCCAGCAGTTGGGACCAGCCTGAGCAACATGGCGAGGCCTTGTCTCTGCAAACCCAAAACGTTTGCTGGAGGTGGCGGCGCATGCCTGTAGTCGTCCCAGCTACCTGCAAGGCTGAGTGGGGGAGGGTCGCTTCAGCCCAGGAGCCCGAGGCTGCCGTGAGCTACGGTCACCCCATTGCGTTCCAACCCAGGTGACAGAGCCATCCTTGTCACTCAAAAAAGCAAGAGAGAAAGGCCAGGCAGGCACAGTGCCTGTAATCTCAGCGTTTTGGAAGTCTGAGGTAGGAAGATCACTTGAGGTCACGAGTTTGAGACTAACTTGGCTAATAGAGATCCTGTCTCTACAAAAAATAAACATGTAATTGACTGGCATGGTGACACACACATGATATCCCAGCTACTTGAGAGACTGAGGTGGGGGAGTCACTTGAGTACAGGAGGTCAAGTGAGCCATGATTGTGCCATTGTAATACAGCCTGGGCAACAGAGCAAGATCTTGTCTCAACAAAAAAAAGTTTTTTTCTAGAAGGCATTGAAACACAATGGAATGTTTTTCAGCCATAAAGAAGTATAAAATATTGACGTGCCACAACGTGGATGAACCTTGAAAACATGCTAAGTGAGAGAAGCTGGTCACAAATTATCATATACTATATGATTTCATTCACATGAAACATCCAAAATAGGGAATTAATATAGAGATAGAAAGTAGATTAGTGAGCTTAGGGATTTGGAGATGGGGAGGAGAGAGGTTAACGGAATGGAACCTACTGGGTATAGGGTATGTTTTTGAAGTGATGAAAATTCTCTATATTCGAATGTGGCGATGGTTGCACATACCTGTGAATATTCCGAAATACATTGAATTGTACACTTTAAGTGGGTGAACTTTATGTTATGTGACTTATAAAGCTTTTACGACATAAAACACTGAAACTGTGCGGTGCTTAAAGAACCAGCTTTCAGTTTCTAGAATATTCTCTTATCCAATCCCATCTATTCAAAGATCATTTTAACTTCTTAGGTTGCTTGAACTTAAAAAAATTTTTTTATTATCAGTTTTTATTTTTTATTTTTTTTTTGAGTTGGAGTCTCACTCTGTTGCCCATGCTGGAGTGCAATGGCACACTCATGGCCACCCCAATGTTGACGTGCTGGGCTCTGGCGATCCTTCCACCTCAGCCTTCCAAGTAACAGGAACTATAGGTGTGCACTACCACGCCTGGCTAATTTTTTTGATATTGTAGAGATGAGGTCTCGCCAAGTTGCCTGGGCTGCTCTCGAACCTGCAGGCTCAGTCAGTCCACTTACCTTGGCCTCCCAAAGTGCTGGAATCATAGACTGAGCCACCGAGCCTGGTCCTAATTAATTTTTTTTTATAGACATGATCTTGCTATATTGCTCAGGCTGACCTCAAACTCCTGGGCTCAAGTTCAAAGTAAAGCCTCCTGAGTTGCAAGAACTCAGATGTACACCATTGTGCCCACTTGCATTTTTTAATTCATCCCACTTCTCTCAAATATTATCAGATATTTTTCTCTAAATTTTTCATTATAGGAAACAGACATAGAAAACACGTGTTACTATAAGAAGTATAGCATGAAGACATACCCTCATACTTGACTCTTTGTTCCCAGTTTTTACTGAATCATGCAACCTTTTATGCTCTTTGTTTTTTTTTCAGTTAATAAGAGAATAGGAGCCAGACTGTATTGTGTATATTCTAGGAAATAAATCAATATCTTTTTAATGCCCAGATTATAGGGCTCTTTAACCAGTAGAACTGCCAAGTAAAGAATAAATATGATCTGGCTGCTACAGATGCATTTAAAAAAAAAAGTAAATATGCGTGAACTTATGATTTTACATGGCTATTGCCCTGGTATCAAGGACCAAACAGGCTGTGGGACTGTGGGAGAGGGCAGTTGTGGTAGGGAGGACGGGATGTTAAATCTTTTTAAGGCTTTTTGTTCATCTCTGTTATAGCATTTATGACAGGGTATGGTTAGTTGATTACATGTCTTCTTTTCTCTTAACTTGTGAGTTCCTTGAGGACAGGGACCAAGCTTACCTTTGACTTTGTATCCCCGTGCCCGTAGCACTCTAATTTTTAGGAAATGCTCCATAAATGTAAACAGACTGAAGAGAGAAATTAGAGGAAAATAAAGGCAAAATTGGGAAAATGGAAAACGAACGAAAATGAGGTTTTGCTGTTTATAGTGTGTTGAAATGAAGTAATAAAACTTTATTTTGACAGCTTGAAATAACCGTGAATGTCCCAGATGTAGGATGCATAGCTGTTGTTGAACATCAGTTCCCAAACACAGATGTTGTGACGACTCAGGAAGTGAAACAAGAAGAAAGTTTGCATGCATCCTTGTTTGTAAGCATCCATTTTAATATGATTTGTGTGGCCTTTTGTTCTTTGTCTTCTTTCAAAAGATTGGAGGTTTATTTTTATAGGATCAGTTTTACAAATACTTCTAGCTAATTCCTCTTATGTAAGAAGCCATTAGTATGAATAGTAAAAACTAGTGAATCATCCATAGATTTTAGATTTGATTTGAGAAGCATTGACTTTTTTTTTTTTTTTGAGGGTACAGCTTTTAATGTCTTCATAGACAGCTCCATTAAATCTATACTAAGTGTAAACTTCTCAAAATATATTTAGTTGCATTATATTTGGCACTCAAATTTGGTATTGATTTTGCTTTTGCAAGTAAAGACTAGAAATTGTAATTTTTTAAACAACAGCTTTATTAAGATATAATTCTTACACCATATAATTTCCCTATTTAAAATGGATACTTCAGTGATTTTTAGTATTCTCAAATATCATTACAGTCAGTTTTAAGACATTTTCATAATCTCAAAAAGAAACCTTATGTCCATTAGCAGTAACTTCTCATTTCTCCAGCCTAAGGAACCAATAAATCTACTTTTTCTCTTTATGAATTTGCCTGTTCTGGACATTTCATAGAATTGAAGTTATAAAATCTGACTTTTTGTATCTGGCTTCTTTAACTTAACATAATGTTTTCAGTGTTCACCCATGTTGTAGCTTGTATTGGTACTTAATTACTTTTTGTAGCCAATGTAGCCAAATAATATTCCATATGGATAGATTCTATTTTGTTTATTTGTTCATTTATTAATCCACATTTGGGCTGTTTTTGTTTTTTGTCTATTATAAATAATGCCACTATAAACACACATGTTTGTGTGGATATATGTTTTCATTTATGTTGGGTATATTTCTAGAATTATAAGTGCTGGGTCATATGGTAACTAGGTTTAATCATTTGAGGAACTGCCAAGTTGTTTTCTTTTTTTTTTTTTTTTTTTTGAGTTGGAGTCTCCTTTTGTCATCCAGGCTGGAGTACAGTGGCACGCTCTTGGCCTCCGCAGCCTTGACCTCCTGGACTCTGGCAATCCTTCCGCCTCAGCCTTCCAAGGAGCTGGAACTACAGACACATGCTACCATGCCTGGCTAATTTTTGATTTATTGTAGAGACAACGTCTCGCCAAGTTGCCTGACTGGTTTCGAACCCGCGGGCTCAGGCAGTCCACTCGCCTCAGCCTCCCAAAGTGCTGGGATTACAGGCTGAGTCACCAAGCCTGGCCTGTATAGATCTTCTTTACTTTCAGCGATGTTTTGTAATTTTTTGTTTGTTTTTTTTATTTTGAGTTGGAGTCCCAGGCTGGAGTGCAGTGGCACACTCACGGCCACCCCAGCGTCAACCCACTGGGCTCAGGTGATTCTTCTGCCTCTGTCTTCCATGTAACCAGAACCACAGGCATGTGGTGCCATGCTTGGCTAATTTTTTGATTTATGGTAGAGATGAGGTCTTGTCAAGTTGCCCAGGCTGGGCTTGAGCCCATGGACTCAGGCAATCCTCTTACCTCGGCCTCCCAAAGTACTGGAATATAGGCATGAGTCACTGCGCCTGGCCACTGCACTCTAGCCTGGGTGACAGTGAGACTCCAACTAAAAAAATAAATAAATAAAAAGTTTTTTTGTTAGTGATGGGGTTTTGCTATGTTGCCCAGGCTGATCTTGAACTCTAGCCTCAATGAAGCTATCCTCCTGCCTCAGCCTCCCAAGTTTCTGGGATTACAGGCATGAACCACTGCATCCGACCACGCTTTTTTTTTTTATTAGTCTTGTATTCTGCAACTTTGCTGCTCGTTTCTTAGTTCTAAGAATTTCTTTTAGTGGATTCCTTAGTATTTTCTATATGCAAATAATGTCATCTGCAAATAGAGATAGTTGTACCTCTTGCTTTCTGGAGTAGTTTCCTAGGACAGTTGTAACAAACTACAGCTGCTTCTCAGTTTTTGATCAAGTTACATCCTGATAAAACCATCATAAAGTTAAAAAAAATTATAAGTTGGAGCTGGGCATGGTGGTGGTTCACACCTGTAATCCCAGCACTTTAGGAGACTGAGGCAGGAAGATAACTTGAGCCCAGGAGTTGGAGACCAGTGTAGACAACATAGTAAGACCTCATCTGTACAAAAAATAAAAAAATTAGGCTGGGCTCAGTGGTTCAAGCCTGTAATGCCAGCACTTTGGGAGGTTGAGGCAAGAGGATTGCCTGAGTGCAGTAGGTTGAGGCTACGGTGGCCATGAGCACACCACTGCACTCCAGCCTGGAGTGAGACTGACTCAAAAAAAAAAAATTAGCCAGGTGTGGTGGCTCATGCCTGTAGTCTCAGCTGCTCAGGAGGCTGAGGCAGGAAGATTGCTTAAGCCTAAGAACTGAGGTTTTAGTGAGTCCTGATCATGCCATTGCACTCCTGCCTGCGCAACAGATTGAGACTCCAACTCAAAAACAAACCGACAAACCAAAAGCACCACAGAAATTTATTATCTCGTACTTCTGGAGTCAGAAGTCCAAAATCAGTGTGTCAGGATTGTTTGTTCCTTCTGGAGACTCTGAGGAAGAACCATCCTGTGCCTTTTTCTTACCTTATGGTGGTTGTTGGCAGTCTTTGCCATTTCTTGGCATACAGCAGCATCATTCGAAACTCTGCCTTCATTGCCACATGGCGTTTTTCCTTTGTGTATGTCTGTGTCTCTTCTTCTTCTTGCAGGAGCTCCAGACATATTGGCTAGAACCAATCCTAATCTAATATGACCTCATCTGAAACTGATTATATCTACAAATACCCTACGTTTAAATAAGGTCACATTCACAGTATTGGGGATTAGGGCTTCGACATATCTTTCTAGGGGACAAATTCAGCTTATGATACTTTCAAATCTAAATGTTTTTGTTTCTTTTTGTTGCCTAGTTGCCCTGGCCAGAACCTCCAGTTCCAGGTTTAATAGTAGTGGTGATAGTGGACATGTTTGTCTTTTTCCTGGTCTTAGGTATAAAGTATCCAATCTTTCATCGCTAAGTATGATGTTAGGTGTGGATTTTTCATAGGTGTCTTTTTTTTTCATTGTCAAACAGATAATGTGCCCATGTCATAACAGGGTCTAAGGGTGGTGCATCTCACACATGCATGTGTGAATGCCCAGTCATCATACTAAATGAGCTACAAAAGGATCCCTTAGATGATCTTTATCAGATTGAGAAAGTTCATTTCTATTCCTAGTTTAATGAGTGTTTTTGTCATGGAAGAGTGTTGGAATTCGTCATGTTTTTTCTGCATCTATTGAGACACGTTTTTTGTTTTTATCATCTTGATTTTTGTCTGTTAAATCACTTCATCCCTGGAATAAATTCTACTTGGTCATGATTTATAATTTTTATATCTTGTTGAATTTGATTTGCTAGTATTTTATGGATGATTTTGATGTCCGTATGCATCATAGATATTGGTTTGTAGTTTTCCTGTGACGTCAGGAGCTGAAGTCCTGCTTCCCTAGGGAGGAATGCTCCTCAGCTGGGACCTGTGGGGGAGGGATCCTGGTTTCTTGACTGCAGCAGGCTGAAGTGGAGTCCTGCCGTGCTCACCTGGGAGGAAGGAGGGAGAGAACAGGCTTGGTTAACATAGACTCTTATCTTTGCTAGCAAACTTGCATGGAATTTCTTGTAGACATTTCTACATTTGCTTTTTGCCTTATGACCATTTCCAGAAGTTTCAAGTGTCTTTTATTCTTAAGTTTTATTTGATTATAGGGATCTGGGGTACAGGTGAGGATTAACTGTAAGCAGGCTGCATGCAGGTGGAGTTTGGGCTTCTAACTGGCCCTCGCTCCCTCTGAAAATGACCAAGCGCCTTTGTGATTGTCACATGACTCCCACCCTCCCTCCACCAGCAGTGCCCAGTGACTGCTGATCCCTCCCTTGTGCTAGTGTGACAGTGTTCAAGGCCCACTTAATGACTGAGAACATATGGTATTCAGTTCTTTGTTGCTGTGAGAGTTCACTAAGTGTGATGGTCTCCAACTCCATTCAATTGGCTGCAAAGTCCAGATTTTGTTCTTTATGTTTGCGTAATACTCTGTTGTATATATGTACCACATTTTCTTTATCCAGTTCATTTTCACTGAGCAGTAGGGTTGGTTCCATGTTTTTACTATTGTGAATAGTGCAGTAATAAACGTGTGCGCAGGTGTCTTTTGTAGAACGACTTAATATTCTGGGTATAATCCCAGGAGAGGGATTGCTGGATCATATGGAAGGTCAATTTTTAGTTCTTTGAGGAAATGCCACACTGCTTTTCATAGTGGTTGAACTAGCTTGCACTCCCACCAACAGTGTAGAAGTGTTCCTTTTTCTCTGCACCCATGCCAGCTACTGTTGTTTTGACTTCTTAATGATAGCCATCTTTGCCGGAGTTAGGTGGTATCTCATTGTAGTTTTGATTTGCATTTATCTGAAGATTAGTGAGGCTGAGCATTTTTTCTTGTTTCTGTTTGGTGCTTATATGTCATCTTTTTAGAAGTGTCTGCTCATGTCCTTTGTCTGCTTTTTAATGGGGTTGTTTTTTCCTTTCACTTCGTTTGAGTTCCTTGTAAGTCCTGGATGTTAGGCCTTTTTCAGATGCATAATGTGCAAGTATTTCCCCCCCCCCCCTCGCCTTCTGTGGGTTATCTCTTTACTCTCTTAATGGTTTCTTTTGCTATGCAAAAACTTTTCAGTTTGATGAGCTCCCACTTGTCCATCTTAGCTTTTATGGTATTTGCTTTTGGGGACTTGGTCAAGAATTTGTTGCCTATTCTGATATGCATAAAAGGGTGTTTCCTACTTTTTCTTCTAGGATTCTTATGGTTTGAGGTTATCTATTTTTAGTTGACTTTTGTATATGGTGATAGGTAGGGATCCAGTTAATTTCTTCTGCATATGGTTAGCCAGTTTTCCCACCACCATTTGCTAAATTGGTCTTTTTTCTCCAGCAATTGTTATTTATGACTTGTTTTGTTTTTTGTAAATCAGTTTCACTGGGGAGTGGGTTAGTGAGCGCCTCAAGCTGTTGTTCTGGCCATCCATTCTGTAACTTATTAATTTGTTAAAATTCATTTAAGTTTTAAGCTGTCTACTAGGGTAAAACATTTATAATATACTTTTGTTGGGTAGAAAATGGCATTAAATATGGCTAAAATTGAATGATAATGAAAGTGAAGAAGTAAAATAAGAATGGTAAATGTATACAGCAATATAATCAAAGTTAAGATTTATATATAATGCCAGAAAAAGGTAAAATCAGGAGCAAGAGACAAAGGAATTTGGCTTTTAAGTTATTTCTGTTCTTAGGAAATTTTATGAATAGTTATACGTTAAGAAAAAAACAGTTTTCACTATTATAACTAGAAGTATGGAAAGACCTGTAAAATGTAGTGCTTTTTGAGAAACAGAACATGTATTTGAAGAAAAACTTAAGATGTGACTTATCTTTTCCTTTTTTAGGAAATGGCCACAGATGAACATACCCAGAATGAACCAGGTAACTGTTAACAAGGAAACCGCTAAATCTACCTGATTAACACTAGTCCAGTCATGCAGTAGTGGAGATAGTAAATGAGTCAGTTTGCTGGAAAGTTGAACAAAAAGATTCAACTGTTGATTGTCTCTATGAGAAATGTGGATTATTGGAATGTTACTTTGGAAAATGAGTTAAGATTTAAATGTTTAATAGAAATATCTCTTGAGCATTTCCTATGGATCTGCACAGATGAGAGCATTTTCTTTGAAGGTATTATTTAATGGGAGGAATGTGTTCAGTGAGTAAAAACCAACAGTGGTGATTTCTTTATTTGTAGCATATAACCTGAACAAAGCACTACCCTAGGAATAAAATAGCGGGTCAGAGAAGGTTGACACTTGTTACTGGAAGATAGACACCTGAATTTTAAGATTTTTTAAGTTAACAGATTTCCAGATTCATTCTTCTGTTTTAATGTTGACCTTACCAGGTACCAACGATGGAAGCACTGAAGCTGCCATAACTTTACTTACAATGGGTGATCTAGTACTGCAGTCCGAGATCAGTACCGAACAGGGTGATGGTAAGAATGAAAGACAAACCTACCAAAAATAGAAACTTTTAAAATCTAACTTTTAAGAAATTATACCTGCAATTGAGTAACAAGTCTTTTACATTTGAAGTTGTCTTCACTTGTTTCTAGAAAATATGTGTGGATTGATGCATCCACTATTTTACTTAACCCCATTAGTTGTCGTGGCATCTAATTCAAGATGGTTCACTTGGTTTATTAAGAATAATTTGTATTCATGGGATAGTTGGTCTGGTGCATCCTCTGCCTTTGCCTTCATAAGCATTATTGGTTAACTGAGCTCATTGGTCACTGATCACTTTATACATGTTTCTTTAGCAAAGGAGCTGCTGCTGGGGATGGTCTTCACAATTAGGTGACACATACAGGAAGAAGGGACAGTAGCAGTTATTCAGACAGTTTAGCTTAAACCGTTCCCATATGGACAGAGCCAAAAGATATGTCAACCCAGATTTTTAAAATATTAGGCTGAATTTATAGACAAGCTATGGTCTCAGTGTCTTTTATCTATGTTAATTGGATAAGTATGCTAATTATATTATGCTAATTATATTCCTATAATTATGTTGACAGGTCATGAGTAGTCATTTTAAGTGTTAGACACTTTTAAGCTGGGCGCGATGACCCACGCCTGTAATCCCAGCACTTTGGGAGGCTGAGGCGAGAGGATTACTTGAGTCTAGGGGTTTAAGACCAGCCTGGGCAACTTGTCAAGACCTCGTCTCTACGATTAATCAAAAAATCAGCTGGGTATTGTGGCATACACCTGTGGTTCCAGCTACTTGGAAGGCTGAAGTGGAAGGATCACCTGATCCCAGCAGGCTGAGGCTACAGTGGCTGTGAGCATGCCACTGCACTTCAGCCTGGGTGGCAGAGTTAGACTCTACTATATATTAAAATATATATATATAGCCGGGCTTGGTGGCTCAGCCTGTAATCCCGCGCCTTTGGGAGGCTG